CGTCACACTTTTATCTCTTAAGGCTTTCCATTTCCTCTGGCAGTCCTGAGATTTAACTTGTCCCCTAACCTTATTTTTTTCTTATGACAGTATTTTTAGGAATAAAATGTTTACTAACCATCTCAGCGACTTCTTTCCATGCATTTTCCTTTGTCTGCAAGTCTTTGTAGGCTCTTGAAGACACTTGCCACGAACACTGGTAGCCTCTCATACTTCATTGAGCTTGTCCTCCATTTTATCAAGTGTGTGGTGAGTTTAATCACGTGGTAGCTTTGATTTGATTGGCTGAACGCTCAGCTATTGACGGTCAAATGCTTATTCTAACGTTGCATGTCATCGTTGATAAATGAACAAACGTTCCCCATATGCTATGCTATGTGTCGTATCGTAAACCAGCCCGTAAAGGTATAGTACAAGATTCCTGTGAGACCGTGCAACAATAAATTTTATGTCAAGCTGAACAGCACTAAAATCCATTCACTTGGAAACATGAAGCATGCAAACATTTGATATCCAGTGGGAGTAGATATGATGCTTCGCAAAAAATTAATTGTTAAGGCCAGTGATCCACTACTTCAATATATTACGGTGCGATTCAACAGGAAAAGGCAATTAGGGCCTATTAAGGAGTAAGGATTATATGCCTTGCAAAAATCTACCATCTCTGCCAATAGTGACATTATTGGACAGCGAGCATACCACTGACTGTCTATGATTTTTGAATTGGCCAGTCATGTTCGTGAACTAGTATACATTATAGTATATATGTACCAGCACTGAATGCAGTGAAACCGAGAAATGCGGACACCATTGGGACCTCCCCAATGTCTCCTGATAATAAGGGTGTCCATACTTAAGGGTTTTTTAAAACAGTAACAAATTAATGAACTAATACATGGACGCCAGTGCTGTTGCTAAAATGAAGGACTCTATGTTGTTGCAGTCACACTGCCAACAGGGTGAACAGAGAAACTGGATATGGACTAGAAAGTCCTTGCAAGTATCGCTGGTATCACTCAGAAACATACTTGCAGAAGTCAAAAGACATTCTTCATTCTATTATTCAGCATGGCCTTATTACATTAGTAAAATTATTACATGAATTAGTAAGACCACACACTGGGTGTGGCTTATATCCGCATTATGGGTTCTTATTTAATGGCCAGCATCCAGTTAGGGATCAAGAAAGTGGCCGAATTACGGAATAAAGATGTGTCCTTAACTGAGGGGTTCACCAATAGTGTCCTCTGGCTTATTGTCCACACCAGCTGCAACTGTCCACATAACCACTATGTCCTTATCTCAAGGGGTCCACATTTCAAGGTACCACTGAATAAAGTTTTGAAAATTTTCCTTTATGCAATTTTAATCCTAATCTCAGAGTACAAGTCATGATAGATCAGTGTTATAATGGCAGAAGCAGGGGCTACACATGTGTTTATGCTCATTTGCAATGTCTGGCAAGAAAATACCTTAGAACTTAAACAATGATCATATTAAATGGATTGTTCGTTCTAGTAATTGTAACATTCATTAGGTTGTGGTTTATGCTATGTAATCTTTGTTATGTACTATATCTAGTGTGTATAGGTTTTGTACTAGAGTTGTAGTTGTTGTCTCTCTTGGTCATTTAATGTGTTTAGTTGTTCGTGATTCTTCTCTCTCTGTAAGTTTGACTCCCATAAGATACCGCAGCTCGGGTTACAATGGCAGCTGCAATTATTCACTGTCATAAAAAATCAATTAAAAACCAATAAAACATACATAAACCAAGATGCAGTTAAATTGAAAATGACATAATAAAGTAAAGCTCCTGTCTGCAGTGCTCTTGAATTTATTATATTCTTCTTATTAATAATCTTTAGTCTCTTTGAAGCTATTTTACCAGTTTTTTCAGAACTACACTCTCTGGAACACTATGCCCGTCTCACTTGTTATACTGTTTCAAGTAATTAGGTGTGGTTAGTTATCTTGTCTACTAAAAAAACTCGAAGACCATACCATAAGCTCAGAGATAGTGAACATGCTGCAATCGGTGAAATAGCAATTCAGAATGGCCCTGCTAAGGCTGCCAGACACAGGTGTATCAAGGATGGGTGCTAAGTGTGCTTGGGCACCCTCCTTAAGGCTGGGCTCTGACAAAAATAGCTGAAGTTCAAAACTTTAGCATCACTACCAAGCCACTTAATAAAGATATGTAGCGCCTGATTATAAATTCAGCAGTTTCCATTGCTTTAACGAGCCATCAGAAGTTCCAGTATGCTTGAAATTATGCAGACCCCACCCATAATTAAACTATAATAAAGGAAAACACCATTTTACCACCGTAAAAGTGGGCATGGTCAAAATTGAGGCACGCTTCATGCACCCATATTGACTATTTCATTCGTTTCTGTAACCCAGCAACCCCCTTTCGAAATTCCTAGATATGCCCCTGAAACATTATATGGTTAGTAAAAGCAATGTGAGGTGTATCCATAGGAAGTATAGCTAAGCATTTCTGTAGACCACTAGTAAGACTCTGCACATCATTACCACAGGGAAAGCCAGGCAAACCTTTAATACTTAGGGAAAACATGGACAGTATTAAGTCTGTGGCATTAAATTAGCAGTGAAAATGTGTTGAATGATTAGCACAAACGGTTAGCAATCACTCCAAACACAAGCATAATAAAGAAGAGAAGGAACAAAGCCAGAAGGGACCAAGAACAGAAATTACAGAACAAAAAAAGAACTGAACAAGAACGCAGAAGGGTAGAATATATATACATGTGTATACACCTATACAAATAATGTTCTAGAAAAGACAGAAAATGCACTTGGTGAAAGTAATTACATTTATATAAATTACATTATCAAAAATAACTATAGACATCATATCCATTAGTTGAGTTCACCACATACCTCCTCTTTTAAGTATAACGGGAGGGCAAATAACAATCAATTGGAGGTCCTACAAGTCAAGTGACAGATCTGAGTGGGAGAGTCCTCTTGTGCAGTGGTTGGCAATAGTTTTTCAATGTAAACTTCGTGCTGAGCCATATTTAGATTGTTCACTTAAGGTATGTTTCCAGTCTGAGATCCATCAGATAATAATTCAACGCAACAGTGGGATCTGGCTCAGATCTGTTTGAGAATCGTTAATGTAAATGATCCACATATCTACTTGAAACCAAGCCATCTTCCGTCTCCACGTCATATGATAGATGACTAGCATAAGCGTGCACAAACTTTTAGGATTGGGGGGAGAAACTGTAAAGGTGGGTTCTCAATATGAGGCATTGCTTTTTATGCGCTTGCGTTATGACAGGAAGTGCTGTAAAAACCAATAGGAGTATGCATCAATGCATCAGCATAGAAATGTTTTGTAATGTGATGCATTTACGCATGTTGCCATTAGTTTATACAGCACTACTGGTCATGACGAACGCACATGCGTCATTTGGAGAATTGATGTTAAGGAGCGCAAAGCGTGAGCAAACTTTTTAGCCACTAATTGAATATTCATGAGGGCATGGTCAAAATTAATTGATTTTTTTTGTTATTAATAGTAATATGGCAATAACTATGTCAAATGCACACGACGAGGTGCCATTGCCTCGAAAGTGTCAATCATATGTGGGCTACCACGAAAAAATTGACCAATTGGTGGCAAATACAATAAGATGACTGACGACAAAACATATACACAATAATTTTTTTATTGAAGAATATCATTATGTATGTGATTACTTATTAAATGATACCCTATGTGCCGTGTAACTCCTCCTTGTACTTAGCAAGATATGGGCTCCATCTCAAAGACACTTTCCCATTTACACGACTTGAATAATTCACGGATATTAGAAACGGAGGTATGCAGGGTTATAGCTGCTAGGCAACAAGGCAAAACCATAGCAACAAGGTAGGAACTAAGAAGTCATTGGGACAGCCACTAGGCTCCCTACTCGCTCTAAGATGTCAGCAGAAGAAATTTCTCACCTTCTAAATGGAGGTCAAGGTTCCTTTGAGGATCCAGATGTTGGAGAGCTACGAGAAACTTACTTCTATGATGTACTGGATGAGAAATTATGCGTAACATTAAACTGTATTCATAGCTATAGACGAAAGAAAATGTTTTTACTACTTTTATCATTATAATAACAAACAATATAAACAGTGATGATGATGACTTACACAATGAGATGGAAAGTGATAGTGAAAGCTTCATCCAAGTGGAAATACTTAAAGAGCACGAGATTTTTAAAAGTCAGCAGCTGCTTGAGGGAAAGCAAGTGCAGGTGGAGCAGGACTTTGTGCAGCAGGAGCAGCCAGAGCAAGAGCTACAGCTAGAAGAGAGAGAAGTTGATCTGAGAGAGAGTTTTGATAAATTTTACAGGGAAGGTTGCTGTGGCAAAAAATGTTACTTACAGTATGAGGATTATCTTAGGAGAATCAGGTGGGATATGGAGGAATTGACAAAGGAGCAGCTTCACCTGGTGGTAATGGCTCAGTTAATGGCCACTACAGACAGGGGTGACAGGACCTCAGCCAATAAGAAGACCACAATGGCTGGGATCGAGCAGCAAACAACCTATTTCCATAACATGAGGAAGGTGAAAAGAAATAGAAATACATTAATGTTAATGTTACAAGTATTATTATTATTATTATTATTATTACTGTTATCATTGTTATTCTAAGAAGCTAAATAAGGAGGAAAAACAGAAATAATAATTATTATTATTGCTTTTGGTGTGTGTGAAGCTTTTGATGTTCAAACATGGCATTAAGCACTGTAGGTTGAAGGCATTGCTGAGGCATTTAATTGCAGAGGGTTTGAAACCAAGTTATACATGTACGATAAGTATACAAGTAAAGGTTATTGACCGAAGCCAAGGCATCACGTTATCTAATCAACCTGAGGTATCTACAATAATGTAATGCCGAGGCTGAGGTCAATAACCGGCTTAGACTATGGTCGCACTGTGCATGCGTGGTCCCCTCCTCGTGTGTTAAAAATGGAGAATGCTATAGCCAAGTTGCTGTCTCAACATGACCCGCCTGTTGTCTCTCCAATAATCCTCAAGACGCCTGTTACATCTTGTTGGGCGATTCCTAAAACTAGCGAGCAACTTCAGGATGTGAGGATGGAAGGGGTACCTAGACAAACAAGAAAGCAAACGAGCTGGTGTATGAGCGTGTGGAGTCAATGGTCTGATTATAGGAAAGCTAATTTTATTGAGGAATCTGAAGGAGGCTTTGCTTTATCAGCTCGTTTGATTGATATATCTGTGGAACCTAGTTGACCAAGTTTGTTTCTGAGGTGAGGCGTGGTGACAGTCAACCTTACCCTCCCTACTAATTGGTATCAGATATGCTATGGTTTATCACGCACTTTGAAATTTAATGACAGGAGTGATGTTGATGTTTTTAATGACCCCGCTTTTTCTATGTTTTGTGATACAATAGATGCTTATATGTAGGACTTGAAGAGTACAGGAAGTATGTTGTGAAGCAATCTGAACCCATTATGATGGAGATTGAAAACCTTTTATGGGAGAAAGGTTTCTCAGGTGATAGTAGCCCACAAGTTTTGGTTGATACACTTGTTTTCTACATTGGTCTATATTTTGCTTTGCGAAGTGGAAAGAAACATCGAAGGCTTCGCCATTCTCCTTCACAGTTGAGTCTTGTTGAGCCACCAACCAGTGTTTCTTATTCGGTGTACAAGGAGGATAAGACTAACCAATGTGGTCTAAAGCATCGTAAGAAGTCTGCTAAAGAAGTTGTTCATCATGCTAATACAGATAATCCTAATTGTGGTATTGTACGACAATACAAGTTGTACAATGAAAAATTTCCTCCTGATAGACCAGCAGATGCTTTTTATTTCGGACCAAAAGTGAATCCAAAGAATGATGACGACTGATACAACCGTAGAGCAATAGGTCACAATTTGCTGAGCAATACTGTGAAGCAAATTTGTCAAAGGGCTAGTCTGCAAGGGTTTTTTACAAATCACTCTCTTCGCTCTACTGCTGCCACTTGTCTCTTTGAAGCTGGCATTGATGAGCAGCTGATTATGCTTCGTACTGGACATTCAACAACAGCTGGAGTTAGGTCATATAAACGTGTGGGAGAGACCCTTAAGTCTGTCACTTTTGATGTTTTGAATGGGAAGATGAAACTTGACAGTGATGAGCCTTTGGAAAAGAAAGTTGTAGCAAATGAGCCTGATGTCAAGACTGCTATGGCTGCTATTTCATCTCAAATTCAGTTTGCTGGATCTTCTAATATTACAGTCAACTTTAACCTTAAATGAACTGTTGATAACTGACAACTTCATGTAAGTTTTTTTCTTATCATTTGTTATTCAAAACATTTAATATTAAAATTTGTGGGTGTGGTAGGTCTCTAAACTGTTTAGACACTTGTCTGCAGGTGGTTTAGCAGTTTTAAACACCTCATTATCTACAGAAGATCAAAGCATGCTATGCATACCATAGTCTAAGCAATGCTTACTACTCACTTTATTTAATTGTTAGAGTGCATGGAAACACGGGGAGGCTTCCCCAATATGCATTGTCAGATGAGGATACGGAGAAAATAAAAACGTTCTTGGAAAGGTTGGCAGAGTAGAACAGAATATTTCTGCCAGGAAGAATCCCAGGAGAGAGGGATGATAAAGCCATCCTATTGACATCCAGAATGTCAAAACGGTCATTTTATGATTGTTTATGGCAACATTTATGACAACAAATCATCATGCGTTGGGTGTATTGTTTGTGAGTCAGAATTAAAACTCACTTAGAAGCTATTATGTCCCTTGCATCATCATAATGAAACCAATGACTGACCTCTGCTGGACATGCAGGAAGATCAGCAGCCATGGCAAACATCCAAGGACCTGTTAGTGTCGAAACTTCCCTATATAGCTGAAAGTTACCTTCTCGTATGAATCTTATAACAGCAGCAAAAAAGTTTGTAGTGTCATAGTCTTTAGCCAATGATCAAATTTTACATATTTCTGAGCTTGCAATTTGCACCAATTAATAAACAATAGGGTTTTATCTACCTCATTTCTCGATGATATGTAGGTGGCATAGGCATGATTCAACAAAACATGCAAGCTTATTATTGTTACTTGATGAGCATGTCTTGTTTTGGCTACAAAATTAGCAGAAACAAAAGAATCAGCTGTTCCAGCATTGGCAATGTTTGCTTATATGATTGCATTGACTCATCCACTGCCATCCAGCCATTTTCCTAGTACCTGCATAATAAATTTTAACAATATCTAAATGAGTTGGATGAATTGGTTACACAAGTGGGTACTACTGACGGCATCTCAGCTGAGCAATATGTAGATGATGAATCACATCTTTCAACCAGCCTTGGTATAGATGTTGATGACACAACTGCTGATTGGAGATGCAATTTAAGATCTGCTGTTGTTAGTGAGATGTCGTCATCACAAAGCAATGAAATAATGGATACTGGATGTTGTGTAGTCCTAGATGGTGATACATGTAGCAGCAATGAATCTCAAGATGAAGATGTTTCGTCTAGTATCACTTCGTATGATGAAGGCATGGCAATAACAAATAACCTAATCCTTTTTTAGTGGAAAAAGGGCACGAAAAAGCAGCTGAGTTACAATCACAAGTTCTCTTGACATTACAAGACGAAAAACTAAAGATAACACTAACATCTCAGTTACACCAAACGACTTTTATTGATAACTAGATCTATATATATATATACAGTATATAAAAGAGTTGTCGATTGTTTTAGCAAAATAAAACATTAATATTGTGATTATGCTATTATTCAATGTGCATGTGTGCATAAATGATAAGTAGACCTGCCTATAAGAACCGATGCATATGAAAAGGCCACGGTCTCTTTAGACAGAATACCCTATCCAAAGACCACCTCTCTATTAAGACCAAGTTTTTCTGGCTCATAGGTGGTCGCTTTAGACTCACTGTAATCAATTAGAGTTCTTTCACTAGGACAGAGTAAGTACAGATCAGGAGAGGTATAATTAATGTTAGGCCAGTTTCTAAAAGTTTCAATAAAATATGTTCCAGGTTAGTGTACTATGAACAAAATACCACTGACACAAATGTTTAAGTCTCTTGTGTCCCTCTAGCACATGTGGAAACTTCTCCAATGAAGGTGACCTTTGGCTCCTTTCATTTTGTTGTAACTGTAGCTGTAACAACACTAGATGCACATGATTAGATTGAGAAGTGGGCTGCTAGTATCTTACACATGTATTATATACTGATGCCGTTTATGCTGTTTACACTTATTCGGTTATGTATTAATTGTTTGGTGTCATCACGTGTTTGTGTGTGTGTCTGTGTTGGTAAAGCTACACATGTAAAGGTTGTCTGTTTATTACTTAAATTGTACTTTGACTATGTAGCTCTTTGTATTGATTTTGGGGTCATTCATGGATATCCTGAAGAACTGATATCGGTCATTCCTTTCCTCTGCAAGAAGGCAAAGATGATGAACAAGAGCAAGGAAGAGATGATGCATGCACTTTTCCTTTCTCATTAGTGACATTGACCTCATAACAAATCAGCTGGTTTGTCTGTTTCTATCTACACTATTATGCACTTATATTGCTGTAAGAATGTGGAGTCCCACAGTAAAGTAGTGTCCCTGTGAGTTCAAATCTTGAAGCATCAGTTAATGACACTGTCAGTGAACATATCCACAGATATGGTAAGTACAGTCAAAGGTTATAGCCTATTTAAAATTGAATTACGTATGTATCTATGTATCTCTTTCTTTTATACATAGGTATGCGATCAAATTAAAGCATCACATAGCTGAGGACCTCCACTTATACAAAAGAGACTTGCGTGAGAAGACAGAATCAGTGGAAAGAAGAGGAAGGAAACATAAATTAAATAGAGTAACTAGAGAACTATAGTACAACTAAGACCAGGATATCAACTAATAGAGAAGAAAGGCACTGTTCAATAATGTCAATAATACTGAAACTGACACTAATGCTATTTTCAATAGCTGAATATTAATTAGTCCTACAATGTCATGTATTTCATCACTTTTACACTTTCCTTTGTTGTTGATATTTTGATGCCTTTTAAATATTTATTAATTATTATATTTGGGAGAGGCCTTTTGCATGCAATCTTAATCCATAGATAATTATACTCTAATATCTAATATTAATCTAGATATATCTATATGTTAGATACTCCAATATCTATGCTTAATCACATCATGGATAATGCCACATGCACAGGCCCACTGAGAGGGGGGGGAGCAGGGGATAAATCCCCTGGGCCCCTCACTTCAGGGGGCCCCATAATATTATACATTATAATTAAAGTATAATAAGTAATCTTTTAATACATGATTAAACATGTGCCTTTCTGGTTTTTAAACTAGCAAAATGATCTACGATATAATCAAAATTTAGCTGTTCTGCAAGTTTGCTTTTAATTGCTAGTGTTCCTAAGTTAGTCAATCAATTTTCGGTCATATTTGAGCATTGGTAGTTCTTGTCATTTAATTTGTAATTTTTTCCATTATTGCAAAGGGCCCCTAATTTTAATCTTCCCCTGGGCCCCATGTCTTCTCTCAGCGGGCCTGCACATGCATGCATGCGGATGCAATCATTACATTGCAATTTTCTAAAATGCTAAAGGTGCCCCAAGTGTCCTTCAGTGCCCATAGATGCAATGTATTCTCACAGCATAGTGCATGCGCTATAAAAATAAAGCAAAGAATTGCTAAGTTTCAGTCACTATCTAAAGCCTATGCTGCTGAGACTGATCGACATTACTCCAAACAGGAGTAATGGCCACATTTAAATGGTATGATGTCCTGGATCAGGAAGAGAGAGGGAAAGGGGAATTTTGCTATAAAACTGCAATGTCTAGTTGAAGCTAGCAGTAAAACAAGACATTTGGCACTTGTTAAAAGAGCTATTGATGGAGCTAAAATGTACATGCAGAAAAAATATACTTTGCCATAATGCAATCTAGATAGGACATGTTTCTACACCACTGATTCAGCTGAATACAGATCCAAATTTATGCAATCAAGTAACAATTCTTTCGGTGCAGGAGGAATGTCTCTAGCTCTAAATGAGACAATTTTCCTCTTTCATTCAATTTTTTAAAGGACAAAGTTCTGGTCATCTACCCATAAAAAGAGCAGCCTCTATATTAGGCCTGCAGCCAAGTGGGGTGTAGGTTTTCAGTCCAGATCACCACTTCAATTCTGATGGGGACAAAATTCCTCTGGAGGAACAAATGTATATATGGTTACAGGATATGCTTACTAATGAAGCAACGTCTGTAAGCATCAAAGAGCTGATCTCAGTTATAAAGAAACCAGCAATGCTTCAGTATACAAACATTTTGAACAAGTATCTTGCATAGCATAAATGCATCTATCATAACATTGACTAAGATAACTATCCTTGTTGTGCATACTATAGGGCCTTAAGATATCTTGGAATAGTCTCGATGGACACCTTCATTGCATCTATAATTGGGATTTCAGCTTCACTACTCTTTTTTGATTATGCTACTCTGGAAAGCATGTCGTGCGCAGTAGTTGTGCTGATGGAGCCATCTCAGACTGGGAAATCAACAACTTTAAGGACATCGTTGTCAATAATTGGTATAATTCTAAAAAATATAGATGATGTACTATTTATAAAATGTGAATGAGTATCCTTACCTGTGTTGTCTTGTTATGGAGTTAAGGGATATATGAAAAGGTGACCAGCACATTCATTCTGCTGAGATCTGGTCTTTCAACGTTGCCTTCTTTTGGGATAGATAATCCCATGCAAAGAACAATTGCAGGAAATGACATAAATGACATCATTGTAGACCTATACAATAAGAATCCCAGTGCAACATTTAACAGAGG